CGACGACGACGACGAGGAGTAGTTCTTTTTATATCTTGTTTCTGTTTTGAATTTCTGTTTTGAATATTACTTTTTAACATTATCTATATTATGTTTTTATTTGAATTTCAATTTTCAATTTAAAAATTTTAAATTTTAATTTTGAATTTTAATTTTTTAAAAATAAATTTATATTATTTTTTAAAAAATTAAAAATTACAAAATTTCCGAGGAATGATATTCCTCGGAATATTCTGAGGGAAAAATTCCTCGGAATCTCCGTTGGAATATTCTCAGGAATACTATCCCTCGGATTATTCCGAGGAATACCTTTCCTCGGAATTTACCGAGAGATTGAAGTCCTCGGAATATTCCGACGGAAGGATTCCTGGGAATATTCCGAGTAGTTTATTCCCTCGGAAATTTTCGTTGATATTCCGACAAACGGTTCCATCGGAAAACATCCTCGGAATGTCCTCGGAATATTGTCCGTCGGAATTTCCTCGGAATATTCCCAGGAAATTCCGACGAAAACTGCGATTCCGAGGAGATTTTTCTGAGGGAAATTTTTTTCGGAATATCGTCGGAATCGCCTGATTCCGACGACATTCCGAGGAAATCGTCCCTAGGAATCGATGTGTTTTCTTGTAGTGACATATTCCTATATAAAAAGTTCTAAAATTTTTGGAAGCCAACATCAATGTTTCACTCGCATATACCCAGATCTAATCATGAATATAAGTAACGATCTTTAAATAAAATATATATATATATATATATATATATAATTATGATTAAAATTTCTTTGCCTCCACTAAACCCAGATTAAAATCTAAGTTGGTCAAAGTCCTCTCTTTGCCCCCACTAAACCCATATTAAAATCTAGTTCTCCACACAAAATACTGATCACATGTTTGGCAATATATAGTTAGCATTAATGATTATTTGGTGATAGATTAAAGAAAGGTATCAGTTGTCAATTCACATTAGCGAACGATTATTCTCCTGAAACTATACCATTTTCTAGTTAAACAGTTATCACGGCCAGTGGCGGAGTCAGCCATACTTTTCACGGGTCATTTCCATTTCATCCATATGTTATAGGGGTCACATAAACTATATTTTCAATGTTTCATAAAATTTGTTCAAGTAAAAAAGAAAATTATCAGAATTTGTAGGGGTCACATGACCCCCTACCGTAACGGTGGCTCCGCCCCTGATCACGGCATGGGCGATTACTCTGTTAATAATTTAACTTACATTGTATGTTTGTATTACAGAAGACATGCTTTTGTTTCACTACGCACAATATTTTTTGTTTCATGAATAATTTTATGTATGTATATGTATCAATATATAAATCATTGTATATGTGATTGTAATTGTATACATATACATTAATGATTAATTAATATGTTCAACCAATAATTTTTCATAATGTCATTAATCAGGAATAATGATGACACTAATCTAGAATTGTTAACAGGATCAGTATAAGAATAGCCAATAGTTCATGCATTTAGGCGGTGACGAAACTTTGTACTTTTTTAACTACCTTAAATTTATAAATTATAAATATTTCAGTAATTTTTTTAATAATTTAGAGGTCATAAAATTTATGTGTATTTAATTTGAAAATTTTGGAAACCAGAAAAAATATATATTGGACTATGCTCAATATTCTTACATGAAGGCAATTAGTTAATAATCCATTTACATGTTTTAGTTCGGAAAAGATATACAGTAAATCTATAATTGTTCCGAAAATATGTCTTAACTAGATTAAACATGCGTTTTAAAAACGTGAAAGTATTTTTTAAGAAAATCTAATTTATTGAAATTAAATAAAAATATTTTAGTGTATATATCAATATTATATAACTGATTGAAAGTATTTAAGTTATATATATATATATATATATAACAGTATTTTTCAGTCCGTGCTATGAATTCTTGTAAATAACTGTTAAAAATCTATGTAATTTGTTTTGAAAAAATAGTTATAACCTCCAGCTAGAAAATTTATCTAATGTCAATTATTGATTTTAATATCTTAGTTATATGCAGTATTTAAGTTTATATGGATTGTTTAAAATGAATGTGTTTTAAATAAATGAAAACACAAATAGACTAATCTGTTTTTTAAATGAATGTGTTTCCAATAAATGAAAATACAATTAGACTAATCTGTTAATTAATTTATATATTACATTAAAATATTTTAGTATTTAAACCTGCAAAAAGTGAGTTTTTATAAATCATTTGAGTATTTTAGTTAATTTTATTTTATTTTATCGGATAATTTGTATTATAATTAATAAAAATATGAAAAGGTGAAAAGTGGTTTGTATTGTTTGAATACAAATTTAATTATTATATTGATTGAAAACATAAATAATACTCCCTTTGTTCCTAAATAATCCATGTTCTAAACTTTTCACAAATATTAAGAAAACTCATATAATTTTGATTGTAAATGCATTGTTTTTTGTGAATAACAATTTTCCATAACTTTTAACCAATAGAAACTCAATAAACATCATTAATTTTTTTGAAACTTACAATTTTTCATTAAATCATTCATTGAAAATGTAAAAAATGCATCTTTTTGAAACAAATTTTTTTCTATAATATACATCTTTTAGGAACGGAGGGAGTAGTATAATGTTATTTTACATAATTAACCTTAATGATTTTTTAATTAATTATCAGTGATATTAATGTAATATTGCATATGACTAAAGGTTAGTTTAATGTAATGTTTCTAATGTAATAATTAACAAAAAAAAATTGTCAACAATAATTCATAATCTCTTAACTATATATTTAGAAGAGAGATAAAAATACAAAAGAAATTAAGACATGAGAGGATGTCATATTGCTATGCATTAAAACAGCTGGAAACTCCCAATTAAAAATTACTACACTGGATCCGTCTGTACCATTTCTCATTCTATGCATGAATATATGGTTGGCCTTTTCCATTTTGTGTGCTTCAAATGCACACAATCACAAGATTCCATCATCTAGAACTTAAAGACTACTAATACCTATAAAAATGTGAAGTTAATTATACTACTTGTATTGTTTATGAAGCAAACTTATTTACATATCACAACAAACATATGAACAAACATACGTATCTTTTATATTGATGCCATAGTTGATGCCATAGTATGCTAATACGCAATAGTAAAACTCACGTATGAATTCATAGATACATGAAATATATTCAATGTGTTCATGGTCTACAATACTACTGCACGATTACTTAGTATCCTTAATTTAAAATAGTTTTTTTTTTCGAATCAGGTAGACATTTGTGGCTGTCTTTCCAATTATGAATAGTTAACTATTTCACAAACAAAATATCAAGCTGTGTTTATACATACAAAGACAGCTTTTAAATATATTTTATTATCGCTTAACTAATGAATTAAAAAAATAAGAACCAAATGAACTCTACATTTTTATTAATTTTCCGCGTCACATATATTGTGTTTTGCTTATTATTCGGAGCTAGGGTTTTTATTTGTATTTAAAATCTCTGTACTCTTTAGAAATCTCTTTTTGTTTAATGGCGAATTATTCATGGTCAAGCGGTGATGGGAATCACCAAAATGCGTACTTCGGAAACTCCATGACGTCGCCGGGAAGCTCAGAGATGAAACACCAGTCGGGATCTGCCATGTATTGGAGCTCCGAAGAACAAGCAATTCTCGAAGATGGTCTTGTTAGGTTTGTGACTTCTTTCGATCAATACTAGGTTTCTCAGATTCTTGATTTCTTGTTGTTATTCTAATTTTTTTTTTCACGAAGATATTCGTCGGAGCCGATTATTTCACGTTACGCGAAAATAGCGTTAGAGCTTCAGAATAACAAGACCATTAGAGACATAGCTATGCGTTGCAGATGGATAAATGTAAAGTCTCCTTATACCTTCCACAAGTTATGTTTTTCTCTCTGTTTCTTATTCGTTTTCTTTGGGTTTTGTTTATGTCGCAGACGAAAGACAATAACAAGAGAAGAAAGGAAGTCCACGAGGTGTCGGGAAGAGCCAGAGTTGACAATAAGGTTTGAATATATATAGCCTCTCTCTGTTTTGTTTTTTATCTGCTAGTCTTTTGTCATTATTGATGTTATCACTTTTTGGTGTTTGATAAGTTCAGGAGATTATTGATATGGTTGTGGCTTCAAACTCAGCTACACATTTTCTTAGAGAAGAAGATGGTTAGTATATATCTCTTTGATTCCTTGATTCTTAAGGATGCTTCAAGATTCAAACTATCAATAAAGAATCGTTTAATGATATGTAGGGATCGCCAGTGAGCTTCTTAAACAGAATGAGCAACTCCTCAATCAGATTTCTGCAAATCTCACATTCTCGAGGGTAAAATATGAATTACCAACTGAAGTTGAGGTGAAAAAGTTATTTTACTCTTTTGTTTTGTTTTCTTACAGTTAACAGAAAACTTGACACTCTTCCACAAAAGCCGAGAAAACATCAGGAAACTTCTCACAAAGTAAGTACAAATCATCAGTTCTGGAAAATGTCTTGTCTATGTTGTTGTATTCATTGTGTAAAGTGTTTTTTTCTTTCTCAAAATCTTACAGTTTGACTGAGAATGCCCCGGAGCAGATGAAGCATATGCCACCATGGCCGGAGAAATTGAGAGAAGATCATGATGAGCTACTTGATTCAATCCTTCCTCCCTCACATCTACCATGAACTACTACTACTACTACTTTTTTTTTTATCTCTCTCCGATTCAATTCTTCAGGACATTATTCTTTATTTTGTTTTCAATTGGATTTTCAGTTATTAGGTTTTCTCCCAGTAGAAGCCCTAGCTTTAGAGCAGAAGTTTAGATCTTTGTAACTAGTTGAAGTGTATAGATGAAGAAAGAACACACCTTTTCCTGTGTAATGTCAAGATTAGTCGAGCTAAAGAGCACCAATATTCCTAATATAAAAAGTGGCGGATTAAAACATCCACATAACATGTCCTTCAATTCAAGTCGCACACCAATGCTAAGTAATGATCCAAAAGTATTTTGTGGTTTATCACGTATCTCTCCCAAACTGAACTAGATGATTGTATACAAATGAAATTGTGGGTACGCATACCCACAATTTCCAAGAAATCTAAGATGGAAGGTTTACTTTTGATAGTCTCATATATAAAAAATACAAGGATAATTTCGATACGGTTCGAGATGGACTGTTCAGATCTAGTGGACATGACTGTAAACCCGTTGGATTGGCCAATATTCACGACAAAATTGAAGTGTTTCAGAGATTACATGAGAATTTCAAAGATGTGAACATGTCTCATATTCTTCGGATTCTGAATGGTCGGACGGATGTATTAGTATAAAAAACAAGGACTATATTTTTTTCCATATAGATCAGATCAGCTAGATGGAGATGCTCTTCGGAGAATCGGCTTATTTGACCACCATTTGATTTAAAGGATGATTGTTTCTAGTTTTTAAACTAGTTTTTAGTTTTTGTTTTTGAAAAAACCAAAATTCATCCAATCAAGTTTTTTGAGAAATAGTTTTCCTAAAATGTAGGGAAACTAGTTTTTCCTATAACTACCTATTTTCAAGCAAAAACTAGAAACCAAGATTTTGTAGTTTTCAGTCGATGAATTTGTCTTTTGTTACTAAAACTGTTTGTTAATAAATATTAATATAAAGAAATCCTAAGTACTACCGAACAAAACAAATCCTACCGAACAAAACAAATCCTAAGGTATGGCCTATATTTCTATGCTAATCATAATAAAAACTTATTGTACTAAAATTATTATAATATTGAATGTTATCATTATCTAATAAATAAACTGAAACTACAGAAAAATAAATATTGTTGATAATTTTAGTTTTTTTAATTTTATTTTTCAATATTTTTAGGAAGAGTTGCAATGAGATATATATACACGATAATTTTATTTTGTGTTTCCAATTTTTAAAAAATAATTTTATTAAATAATTTTATGTGTGTTTTAATGATGGTATTTTATATTTATATTTTTCAGGAAAAAAATATTATTCATAAAATTTTCATTTTGTTAATTTAAAAAGCAAAAACCAAAATGTAAAACAACCATTCATGCTTTTTTGAAAAACCAAAATCTACTACAAAATCAAAAACCAAAAACCAAAAACTAAAAACCAAAATCTAAAAACCAAAAACCAAAAACTAAAAACCAGAAACCAAAATCCAAAAACTAAGAAACAATCATCACCTTAGGCTAGATGGACAGTTGACAAAAAGAATAAAAAATTGTAAAACTAAAATAAAGACACCTAAATGTAAGAAATACCATAAAATTGGGTAAAAGTTAGTAATGTGAGAAACTTTCCGCTGGATTGGCTAAAGTGAAAATTGGTGATGTGAGAAACGAAAGCCCAATATGAAATTGTTTTATAGATGGGCCAAAGGGCAAATCTGGTATTTCATATATAAAGAGTCTTAGGTTTTTTAGAAGTGACTTTATATTCTGCGGACAGTGTGTCTACGGTTTGGTTCTTGCTTCTCTTCGTGGACGGCGGCTAGGTTAAAACAACAGATCCGACAATGGTACTTCATCTGTCTTTCTATTTCGGAAGGCGTCTAGTTTTGTCTGTAATCTTAGTGTCGTATCGTCGTTCTCGTAGCTTAAAATGTCGATTCTTGTTTCATTTTTAGCTTAATTATCGTCTGTTGCTTTTGATTAGGACATAGTAAAAACTTGTAGGTTACAGAGAGCTTGATCTTCTAAATATTGTTTTGATGTATTATCATTGATTATGATGTTGATTGATATAATATGTGTAGCCTAAGCAAATCCACGAGATCAAGGACTTCCTTCTGACAGCTAGAAGGAAAGATGCTCGGTCTGTGAAGATCAAGAGAAGCAAAGACATTGTCAAGTTCAAGGTTAGATGCTCAAAGTATCTCTACACGCTCTGCGTCTTCGATCAAGAGAAAGCCGACAAGCTTAAGCAGTCTCTTCCTCCAGGTTTGTTTACATTCTTAAAAACACACCTACATATAGTTTTACAGAGTTCTTCTATTCTGTAACTATGTTTATAAAAGAAACTTGATTCGCGTGCTGACACAGTATGATTGTTGTTGCAACTGTTTTTCAGGTTTGAGTGTGCAAGACCTTTGAAGATGAGATGATGAAGCCCTTGTTTTGATGAATCAATATGAGAAATGTCTTTTTTTGTTTTAGCTGAATTATGTTCAAACTTTTTTGAGTATGAGTATGTTTTCTGACATTTTTTGGTTTAAAAGAATCAATTACGGTCTCTCTCTCTTGATTCTACCTTTAATTACGTATTGATTCCATTCCTCTACGATCAGTTACAATCCTTAACATCTCTTTGATCCTACACTTGTTGTACATTTACTCGGAAATTTTTTCCTAATAATCACGGAATAATATCATTCTACTGGGTTAGTTCTCTTTTGCTTAGAAATTACTCTTATCCAGTCGGTTCTAAGCATGTGTGGAGTGGACAGTGCAAATGCACAGGATCCTAAAATTTTGCTTAATTTTCTTACAAGAAAAGAATCCAAAATTTGGAAAAAAAAACAAAATTCTCTGGAACATAATATAAAAATTATAAAAAAATATTGTTGTCTTGTTCTTATTTGTTGTATCTTTATTAGATTTTTGGTTCTTTTTTACCATCTGATTCAACTATAAAACTATCAGTGTCAAGTTTTATATATGTTATTGTATCAACCAAATCTTTATTTAATATTTTAAAAATATAAAAATGCATAAATGTATATGTAAGAAAAATATGTTACTTTATTGATGTTAACTAATAGAATTAAAATGTATAATTTTTTAATTATATGGAGTTAAATATAAATTATCAAATATAAAAGTATATGCATAAATTTATTAAATTAATTTATCTAATTTTTTTTTACTTTTTGAATATATAATACATGATTTTTCTTGATCAAATATTTTCCAATGATACAAAATAATATGTTAACATTACGAACTTATAGAAAATTATGAATACACAAACTAAATATATATTATTTTATATATCATATTTATTTTATTTTATTAATTTTTATATGTGTGAAACATTAAAAATATATATTTATGGAAGAAAAAGAATGTGTAAGAACAAAAATATAATATTTTTCTTGTCCATAAACTCATTAAAATTATTTAGATAAAAATATTAATTACTTTTTGACAATATTATACATAATTTTTACCGGCCATATATTTTAATAGGATAGAAAAATAACATATATACTGAAACAATATTATAAAAAATAAATATATAAACTTAATATTTATTTTTTCTATAAGCATATTTATCGAAGATAATATAAAAAGGAATGTTTATGTTACATAGAATTATTTTAAACTCATCTTAAATAATTTGTTACACAGAAAGGAGAAATGAGAATATTAAATTTTATTTTGGAAGAGATTTTGTGTTTGGTTTAAAGGTAAATGAAAGAAGTAAAATGAATTTGTTTATAAGCAATTAATAGAAGAAAGAACATTAACCTTATTGTCCAACTGCATGTCAACCGTTTATTCGGTTTAATTGGTATAATTGGTTTATATACCAAACTATATCCATATATCGAAGGTTCTCAAAAATAACATACATTCGGTATAATTGATATTACAAAATCCAAAGGAAATTTTCTATTTCGGTTTAGTTCGATTTTAAATAGTTCGGTTTTACCGGATTGAACATCCTTACTTTGGTTCGACTATTGAATTAACATTGCCAATTTCATTTCAATTTTTAAAATATTAAAATCGATGCTTATATTATAATATATATATATATATACTATAAGAAAAACTAATTTTTATATTTGATATGTTAATGTACAAAAATATTAAGAGATTATAAAATAAATATATTTAAATGATAAAAATATGAAGGATTACATATTGAAAATGAATTATATAAAGCTATGATTATGTAAACTAAAAATTTATTATTTCATCCAAAATAAATTGTGACTTAAAAGAAAAAAAATAGATAAAATAAGACTCAAACTATATTTTTAGAATTTTTTTTAGTTTAAAAATGAAGGAAATAAATTCTATAAATTTATTTATATGTATTTAGTTGAAAAATAAAGTAACCTACATTCATTGGTACTCGGCATTTCACCCAATACTTTTACTTCCTTTCCATGCTGATCAACTAGCTAAGGAACAACATGTAAACTGAAACGGAGGAAGTATTTAATTTTCTTGCATTCATTTGACACTGTATATATAATATATTTAAAATTGTCTTATGTAGTATCATACATATTTATATTTATATTATAAATTTACATAATGTAATTTATGATAATTAGTTGTTTCAATAAATAATGGGAAATTGCCAGAAATAACACTTTCAAGATACCACTTTTCAACTTTACACTAACCAACTTTACCACTAAAATTTTAATAGTCAAAATACTATTAGAATTTAGGGTTTAGGATTTTGGGTTTAGGATTGATAGTTTAGGGTTTAGTGTTGCTTTTTTAGGGTTTAGGGTTTACTTTTTAGGGTTTATAATTTAGGGTTTAAGGTTTAAAATTGATATTTTAGGGTTTAGGGTTGATTTTTAGGGTTTAGGGTTTACTTTTTAGGGTCTACAGTTTAGAATTGATGTTTTAGGATTAGGTTAATATTTTATTTAATATTTATTTTATATATATATATATATAAAGAACAAAGATATAAGAGTCTTTTATCATTTAATAAAATGTGTATTTTTGAAAATGTTCCTTTGTTGATGGTAAACATGGAAAGTGGTACTAGCAAAGTGGTATAATTGAAATTCTCCATAAATAATTTATGTTAATTCATTTACATTTAAGATGTCTGGTTGTTTATTTGGTAACATGGATTATATTAGGCAATTATATGATTAGTTTCTTTTTAAAAATTTTAATTAGTAATAAAAAATTCAAATACCAACAACCAATCAAATTAAGATAATTAATTCTAATCTTTACAAGTGAGTGACACCTAAGCAAAAAATCACTAAAGTGACATCTCAATTAATTTATAGTAGGATTTATTATGAGTTTAAAAATCAAAAGTTATAAGTAAATTAAATTTATATTATTTATGAATCTTTCAATTATTTAATTTATAACTTTAATAGATTTAAAATCAGTATTTTGGATAACAACATTAATATTATATAAAATATGGTATTATTTTTAATCAGTTTTTATTATATTAATTCATGGATAATTATCTAATTAGATAAATAAATATATAATTATTAATTTAAAGTGATGTTATTATACCAAATTCTTGGAATTACCAAAACTTACAAAATCTCAAAACAAATAATAAATATAAATAAAATAGCAGTTTCTTTTTTTGTTCTCAAATGGTATTTTAACCATCAAACTTTAATAATTATAATTAAAACAAATGACAAGTATTTTACTTTTGAGAAATTTTTATTTTAATACACTAAAGTTTTCTATTACCAGCCCCTTTTTATACCAAATCTATTTAGAAATAGGAAAATAATCCACATAATACGAAGGAAAGTAAAAGAAACTTCTAATTAGTTTGTATATATATAATATAAACTGTCGGGTTAAAAAAAAACAGACACGATGCCAGAACCAAACACTAACCAGATGATGTATGTTTCTTCCGATGTACTCGAACTAATTCTCCTCAGGCTTCCACCGAAATCTCTAGGAAGATTCAAAACCGTGTCAAAACAATGGAGATCGTTACTGGAATCAAACTGGTTCTTAGAGATGCATCTCAGTTTTCAAAAATCCGGCAAAACCCGCCGGAAAATCCTCGCCGCTGATCACTGCAACTGCGGCAACCCGCCGACTCTCCGCCCGAGGGTAAGCTTCAAAGGAGGGGAAGCGTTTGTCTATTTGCACTGCGACGCAACACTACCGTCCATGAGTTGCGACGGTTTGATCTGCATCCCTGAACCGGGTTGGATCAACGTTTTGAATCCCGTAACCGGAAAACGACTCCGTTTTGCCTCCGGCCCTGGTCATGTATTCACCCTGTTGAAACGTCGGAATAGCTACCCTTTCACCAATGATGGTAAAAATATCTGTTTAAAACTGTAAATTGAATTGAATTGATGGTAAAAAAAAAGATTTTTTTTAAAAAATGTTAAAAGTTAGATCCTTAATTATAATTTGTATTTTACCAAAAAAAAAAAAAAAAAAGATGTTAAACTTTGTTCCAAAAATTTTCAGGAGTGTTTACGGTTTATTTTCCGGGCTACTGGGCGATGGGGTTCGGCAAGGACAAAGTGAATGGAAGGTATAAAGTAGTGAGGATGTTGTTTGACTCTAACCGTTACGAGGTTCTTGATGTGAACATAGGTGAATGGCGTAAACTGAGTCCACCTCCTTACGAGGTGGAAGCTGGAAGAAGATCTGCTTATGTCAATGGTTCTATCTATTGGTCTGACATCTTGAGAGGTTGTAGGTTACTCTCCTTGGATCTTCACACAGAAGAGTTCCATCCTGTCCCACTTCCAACAGATATTAGATTCACTGTGGACACTCAGATTGTTAACCTTGAGGATCATCTAGCTTTAGCCACAACACTACGGAATGGTGATGTTGAATTGGAGCTAGAGATATGGATCATGGATGATGATGATGATAGTGCATGGAGCAAGACTTACTCCATTAGTTTAGCTTGTCTAGATACCATGCAATTTCGGCAAAGTGCGTTCAAGCCGGTGATGGTTTCTAAGCAAGGTGGTGATGTCTTGTTCCGTGACAATAGGCAAAGTGTGTTCAGATATCGTCAGCTTACAGATACCGTCACTCAGATCTGCTCATGTACTGACATTATATCTCCTTATCTCGAAAACATGGTTCGGTTTGAGAATGAACAAGTCGAGCCAAGGACTCGAGTTAGATGCACCTTTAATGTAAGTTTTTCAAGTTAAACTAGTGTTATATGTGTTTTTATCATATTGTTCTTACTGCTATATAAATTTGCAGATTTGGGCTGATTTTCCTCAGGGTGTACCATCTTCTCAACCAAGAGTTGATATGTTTCACTGTAAGGAAATGTTGAATCTCCCCAATGCTAAAACTTGTAAATTTAGAGCATTTATGATTTTTGATTGGCCTTTGCAGATTTAGGTGTTTGGCTGGGGAGGATAAGACTGAGAAGGTTTGTTTTGTCTGCTCTTTTGCTGTGTAACTTGTTTAGTAGTGATGATACGTTATCCTGTGCGGGTAGACCAATATTTCTCCATTGGTTAGATTGTTTTGGTGTTCGGGAAGATTTCATCAAGGTAATTTATCTTCTTTAGTTTAAAATATGTTTGATGGTCTTGTTATCAACATTGCTTCACATATTGATACTTGTTTGTTTACTTTACAGGTGCTGGTCTCAGTTTTGCTCTGGAAGTTCTTTTTTGCAAATACCATTCTCGACTGTTGAAAGTAAGTTTTGGTTAAATTTGTTTTCGTTTGATAAATCTTATGACATCCTTAACCATCTCGTATAGTTTGATAAACAGTGATGGCTTCTGCGTTCAGTTCTTATCCTTGTGGCAGTAGCAGCGTTGCATTGACTTGTGGCAGGATTTATTAACCTCTTACCTTATTTTTATTTATCTTCCAGAGTTATGTTTTATCCTTGTCTTGATAACTATGTAATCTATTTTCTTCGGATTTCAACATTTCCTGTTACATCTATGTTTGATATTTTTGTCTCTTAAAAGATGAAAATGTGTTACTCACAGTCAGGCACCAACCTACACCCCAAACTTTAGAAGTAGAGTTACATATAAAGTCCAAAACTGCTTCTCAAGTTAACTAGTTCGAGACAATTTTGTTACATTTATACTAGTATACACAATATAATAGTTTAACAGATACGCATAACATATGCACAGCTCCCAATAGCATGAATGGTTCTGATTTGTGGCCCTTTGAAATCTTTTGAAACAGATTGGAGGTGAGCTTTGTGTGTGGCCTGGTTTGAGACATCTTTGCCTTAGAAAATGCTTATTATACGGAGTTATGTGGCTATTCTCCATGCCACTCAAAACGCTGCGTGGAGCTAGAAATCAGTATTATTTGGCGGCTTCTTTGTGTGTAGATTCCAACGACTGTTAAGGTGGAGAAAGCGTGTAACCCATTTCTCAGAACAACGAGCAAAGAAATTCGCAGATCTTTAAGCATTCCAGACTCAGCAAACGAAGCTGAAGCGTTGAGTTGTATACACAGAGCAAGAGATCGTTTCTAAAGAAGTTTTTTTTTTTTTTTTTTTTGACATCAAATGGCTGATCTATTACTCAAGGAACTTGAGGTGGTCTGGGAATCCAGACCAGAATAGAACAACCAACGTACATAAGCTGACGATAAAAGGACCTAGCTGTCTTAGCAAGAGAATCAGAAACACCATTCTGCAATCTAGGAGTATAAATTATCTTGAAGTCAGGAAAACAAATCTTCAGAGTCTCCAGCTTTTCCAATTCTGTCGAGAAACTCGGCCATGCGTTAGGGTTTTTAAGCATCTCTATAAGCTCCTTGCAATCAGTGCCAAAGCTTTGACATGGCGAATGTTGAAGCATATTCTCCATTGCCCACCGCAGAGCTTCCACTTCTGAATGCAACGCCGATTCCACCCGATCAAAATTACGCAAGCCCATTAATTCTCCCTTTCCGAAATTGTCATTAAGGACCCATCCACAGCCACTGAAAATATTTGTAGAGGTCCAAGAGCCATCTACCATACATATATTGGTCAGACTTAAGGTCTGATCATCCTCTGTTCCGTTCCCAATTGGTGCCGGGATTTCCTGCTCATTTGCTTTGAACCATGCCTGACATTCACTCTCCGCATAACGTGCAACCTCCAACGGATCCCTATCAATACCTCTGAATAGCTTGTCGTTCCTAGCCTTCCATATGTACCAGATTAGCCAANTACCATACATATATTGGTCAGACTTAAGGTCTGATCATCCTCTGTTCCGTTCCCAATTGGTGCCGGGATTTCCTGCTCATTTGCTTTGAACCATGCCTGACATTCACTCTCCGCATAACGTGCAACCTCCAACGGATCCCTATCAATACCTCTGAATAGCTTGTCGTTCCTAGCCTTCCATATGTACCAGATTAGCCAAGGATAAGGATCCCTGTCCAATTCCGGTTCCATTATCGCATTCTTCCTCCAGAACAAGTAATCCATATTCGCATACGGACTTTGGACTGGGAACACAGCTGGGTTGGAAGGCGTGGATGACAGCGCCCAAACTTGTAGTGCAGGTGGGCATTCAAATATTGCATGATTGATCGTCTCCTCCGGTTCCCCACAACGAGGACAGTAGTTGTCACATCTCATGTGTCTGTGGTTTAAAATGCTCGTAACTGCAACATGACCCGTTATCAACTGCCACATAAGATGACAGATCTTTTGAGGAACTCTAACCTTCCACGCATGTGCTTGAAGTTTAGTGATGCTGGGCTCACAGACTTCCGTTTCCTCTTCCTTCCTCAAAATATGTCTTGCCACCCAGTAACCAGATTTTACTGTATACTGACCATTCCTTGTATAACCCCAGCAATACGTATCCCGTCGATGCGTAGAGCTAATAGCCATACTCTTGATCAATGGTATATCCGCTGCTGCAATGTAGTCATGTAGTCGCCTATCGTCCCAACTCTTCGTTGCTTGATTAATCAGATCACTCACTCGCATATTTGGATGCATTACCGGGGCTAGGGAAATTGCAGGTCTCGCAGGAGTAGCAGGGATCCAAGGATCCTCCCAAGCTCTCACTTCATAGCCTGAGTGTACTTTGTGCCTGATTCCTAGTAGTAACAGCTCTCTTCCCGCCGAAATGCTTGTCCACACATAAGATGGGTTGCTAACAGCAGACTGACGCAACGGCGTACTCAGTCTATACTACCGGCCACGTAAAACTCGAGCAACCAGAGAATCCGGGTTCTGCACCAGTCTCCACATTTGCTTCGCAAGAAGCGCAAGGTTAAACTCGTGGATCATCTTAAAGCCAATTCCCCCTTCTTCTTTAGGTAAGCACATTTTGTCCCATGTCGACCAATGGATGCCCCTTTTAGGCGGATTAGAACTCCACCAAAACTGTGCAATGGCACTAGCTAAATTCTCGCATATCTCCAAGGGGAGAAGGAAACAAGACATTACATATGTCGGGAGAGCTAGGAGGATATATTTTATCATAACTTCTTTTCCACCTTTGGAAAGCCATCTGCCAGTCCAACCATTCACTCTATTTCTCAGCTTGTCCTTGAGGAAAGCAAAAAGCTTACATTTTGATCCACTGATATCCTCTGGTATGCCTAGATATGTCCCCATTCCACCTTCATTCTGAATCCCAAGCGTATCTTTAATCTCTTGTCTCATTTCCGGGCCTATTCTTTTACCAAAGAGTAAAGAAGACTTATCAAAATTAATGCACTGTCCAGAAGCTTGTCCATATACCTTGACCACTCTCATTACTTCTTCGCATTCACGGGGCTCCGCCTTACAGAAAAACAGACTATCATCAGCAAAGAGCAGATGTGATACCGAGGGACACGCACGTGTGATGCGCATCCCCGTTATCTTTCCCTGACTCTCTGCGTGATTTAGAAGGCTAACGAGCGCTTCCGTGCACAGAATAAAAATGAAAGGTGACAAGGGATCTCCCTGTCTCAACCCTCTCTCTGGAATGATATTTCCTCTTGGCTGTCCATTCATGAGGACCTTATACTTAACTGATGTAACGCATCGCATTATCATAGAAATCCAGACTTCAGAAAATCCCATCTTTCTCATGGAGGCCTCAATGAAGGACCACTCCATCCTATCATAGGCTTTGCTCATATCCGTTTTAATGGCCATCCTCTTATTCCGGCCGCTAGGTTTTGTTCGTAAAGCATGGAACAACTCCTGAGCTATCATAATGTTATCTGATATTTGTCGCCCAGCAACAAAGGCTGACTGGGTTTCTGAGATCCTGGCCGGGAGAAACTTTTTCAATCTTTGACATAACACCTTAGAGATAATCTTGTAGCTGACATTGCATAAACTAATAGGCCGTAGTTGACTCATCTGATTTGGCTTATCCACTTTTGGAATGAGACAGATGTTTGTATCATTTAAGCCTACCGGAATCGTTCCCTCAAATAAAAATTGATTAACCATAAGAGTTAAATCATCCTTAACAATATCCCAGAACTTCTGGTAAAACAGCGCCGTCATCCCATCCGGTCCTGGAGCTTTCTCTGGGTACATCGCGAAAAGAGTCAACTTCACCTCCCACTCAGTGACAGGAGCTGTGAGAGACTCGTTATCAGATAGAGTAATCGTGGCTGATACTTCCGAGAGAGCCTCCTCTATTGCCTCAGGGTTGGAAGTTTGAAATAGCTGTCTAAAATAATTTGTAGCAATGGCTACTAATCCTTCCTCATCCTCCACAACATTTCCATCAGCATCCAATAATTGGGTAATCCTATTCCTCGCCCTTCTTTGCTTTGTAAGGCTGTGGAAAAACTTGGTATTCCTATCTCCCTCTCGCAGCCAGAAAATTCGACACTTTTGTTTCCAGAACAGTTCCTCCGCCTTAAGAGCGTCAGATAGTTCCTTAATAGCTGTTGCAATCTCCTCTGTAGTGGCATCATTATTTGAAGATAATCTGTCCACCTTTTCCTTAAACTCCTCCACTGTCTTCTCAGAATTCAGATTATGCTGCTTTTTCCAATCGCTTAAAGCGCGCCTACAGCTTGCAATGTGCTCCATAATACTTGCATCTGGTGGGAGATCAGGCGACTTCCACCCCTCAAGAATAATCTCCCTGAGCTCATCGTTATCCAACCATCTCTTATCAAATTTAAAGTTCTTTGCTCGTCTAGGTTTCTTTTTGAGAATGTCAGCTAGGACCGGACGATGATCCGAACCCCACAATCTCAGGTACCTCACTTTGGAATGAGGGAACCTTTCATGCCAATCCTCATTTCCAACGGCCCTATCAAGGCGGCAACGAACAGTCGTTCTCCCTGCCCTATTACCAACCCAAGATAGCATGTTGCCTGTGTATGGGAATTCAAGCATCCCACAATCACTTAGCATTTGTCGGAATGGTAGAAAAGAGCTATCTGTGCGTTGTCTACCACCTTCCTTCTCCGCATGACATGTTATTTCGTTAAAATCTCCTATCATAAGCCAAGGACCGGTTCTATTTGTTGAGAAACGCGTAAGACGTTCCCACACAACATCCCTTCGTTCTAAAACAGGATCCCCATAAACAAATGTCATGTTGACTTTTATTCCATCAATGACTGCCTCAATGTCAATCATTCTATTATTTGAAAATAAAACATTAACTTGAAAATCATCCATAAAAAATAAAGCTAAACCTCCGCTGAGACCAAGTGGCTCAACGGTAAATAAACGATCAAATCCTAAGTCGGCCTGAATGTCTTGCAACAGCAGCCTTCTATTCTTCGTCTCAGATAGAAACACAAATCCTGGGCGATGTTTCTGACACATCTCCTTTAGGCGTCGAACTGTGAGGTTGTTTCCTTGTTGTATATAGTTGGAACATGGAAGTCATCATCATCTGCAAAGATCAATATATTATATGGTTTGGTGTTTTTCAGTAATCAATTGAATTGTATATAGTCAAAAGAATAATGTATTTCACAACAAAAAAAGTTATATAAATATTTAGTGGGGCTCAGTTACTAAATAATGATTTTTAAGTGTAATATATG